CTTTTTAAATTCGCCCAAACTAATTATTCAGTCTATAAGGGAATTCCTTGTGAAGGGCCATATTACCCCAATGGCCATATTCCCCCAAGTTACCCTAACCCTTATCCGGGCAAGGTATTTTTGTGACACAAACGGGCAAGGCCAAACATTTTTTTTTAGAATTTTTTCTTAAAAAGCAAATCCAAACGAACGTTAAAAATTCGTTTTCGGATGACTGGATGATTGTCTATGAAACCCATATCAAATTTGAATAATATATTTTTTTTTATTGCAGAGACTAATGAAAAGAAACCCTGGGAGGGTCCAATGGACCCCCCTTGCCCGGATAAGGGTTAAAGAATGTGAAGCAATAGGATGCGAAAACCAGTTAGTCGAAAGATTTGCTCGTGTCGCGTAAAGGTAAATCCAGTGAACGGCGATTGGATAACCGTAAAGCGAGAGGCACTTCTCTATCTTGCACAAATCCTTCAGTATTGGCCGCGGGACTCGTTCGTATCCTAAGATTTACTTTTAGCAGAGATTTAAAATAAATAAATGAAGAGTAGTTGTCGGCCGAGGTTGTCGGTTCCTCTTTTCCTTAGTACCCAAAAGGCGAGAGTGAAGGGAAAATGCCCTGAACGACTGCACGATTGGAAAAAACGTTCTGTCATTCTTGAAGGCATCTTCATCTCTACCTTGTCTTCATCAGAGGACAAATGTGTTAACTCCCGATTGTCCCGATTGTGCTTGAAATACAAAATCGTGTCGTGCTACCTACCCGCGTATGTCCTATCGCATCTGTCGAACGAAAGAATAAAAAAAAGGTTTTATATGTACAGGGTGATTCGAAAGTCCGAACTCAGGTATTGGGGGTTAATTAAAACTTTCTTTCAATTTCAGATAATTGAAGAAAATGGGTGACTATACAAATGCAGAAAAGGTTCGGATCTCACTCCGTTGGACTTTTTCCTTTGGGGACATCTGAAATCAGTGGTTTATAACTCGCGACCACGCAATATTGACGAGCTGAAGGAGAACATTCGGAATCGCAAGAAATTCGTATGGAGGTGTGCCAAAATAAGTATGGAAGTACTAAGCAATATTCAAAGGGGGTTACGTGACAGAATTGATATGTGTAGGCAGCTTCATAGCATGCAATCTCAACCTTTAATGAAATAAAGATAATAGCAAAATCTTCCTGAGTCTGGAATTTTGGGATACCCTGTACTGAAATGAAATTTTCTCTCACTTCTCCACGAAGGTACGTATTGATATATATATATAGTCCAAGGTAAATAAGATAACAATTACTAGTGTGAACTTGAATGCGCCTCTCGGAGCGCAACTCACAGTGCCAACGCCACCCGTGGCTTTCCCAAGGGACTCTTGGATGAATTCCCTCTCGCGGTCGGAAATGAACGGGTGAGTCCGCGGGTGATCGGTGACGAGCAGCAGCCACAAGGCGTACCAGACGACTCCGAGGCCCCCCTGGAAGTAGAACACGGATTCCCAGCCCAGTTCGGACGCCATTGCGCCTGAGAGCGTCAGGGACAGCACCGTTCCCAGGGACACCCCTGTAGGAGAAGTGGACATCGAGTGAGCGAGGTGAACTTGTGCGCGGGGTGTTGGTATCTTTAAGAGAAATTGTTTGACGTAATATTCGGCGAGTAATATGGCCAAGCAACTTGGTTGCTTGACTAGTAAAATTGTCGTTATCACATCTAATTGTCAAGCAAATGAGCTTATTAGTGAGAACAACGGGCATATTTAGCTTCCACTAACATGCAGCTACATATTGCCCGTGTTGCATTTCGATACGAACAAGGTGTATCATGAAGCAGTTGTCCCATCGAACTTCCTCTTATATCGAGTGTGCAGTGAATGAGTTCTAACCAGAGTAGACGATAGAGGCGAGAGTGGATCTTTCGACGGGTGGAGACCAATGCGCCAAGAGAACATGAGTGGCTGGCACCGTCACGCCCTGAAAAGGAAACCACTTGGCCTCTCAGTCCATGCGTCGACACCTGCTCCATCGGCCGAAGCCGAATTCCTACTTTTTAGGGAAGGAACACAGAATTCCTCCCCGTTGAAATGGATTCCCTCTGTGACGGCGACTCTTCAAACTGAATCTGCTTCTTCCTTCTGTCGTCTGGGTCGTATCGGGTCTCAGGAAAGGAAAGTGAAAGAGCGACGGGTTGCATGCGCTTACCCCTCCAAATCCTTTGATGATTCGAAGCAGAATGAGCCACGGATAGCCGCTTTTGGAAGCAACAGGCGAAAGCACCGTGCCCACCACGTTCAGCATCACTCCGAATCCGAAGAGGTGCTTGGCGCTGAAAGCCTCCGACAGCCGTCCTCCCGGGATCTGCGCGACGATGTAGCCCCAGAAGTAGGCTCCCAGGATGTAGCCTTGAACGCGCGAGTCCCACTCGAGAGGCCCGTCCTGGAAACGACAGGGAAAAGTTTCGAATCCAAAACGAGCGAGGTCGAAAGTCCCCGGTTGAAAGCCGTGCGTCGACGCGCCTCGGGGGGAGTCTCGACGGTGACGTCGACGTGGCCGCATTCGGTCGCGTTGCGATCCGCTTCGGCCGTCGCTCGGGTCACGGCCGTGTAGTTTACCATCGCCACGATGGCCACACTCAGGTTCACCCTGAGTCCGTAGATGATGGCATGCCCGAGGGAGTTCAACACCGCCAGAAGGTAGCGGATCGGGATCACACCTGTTTGGAAATAACATTGTGTGAGGAATAGACTTAAATATAAAAAAATCGGCATGGATCGCATGGATGACTGGTGGATAGAACTTCTCTTTCTTCACCGGAAACAGGTCCTTGGAATTGGCCCAGAAGACCGGACTAGCCAACGTTTCGGTTAGACGAGTGGTTCCAATTTGAATACATTTGAGGCCTTGAACGGCTTTCCTGCAGGAAAGCCGTTCACGCCTAATCGCGCCTGTTGACTGCCATCTCACCGCAGTCGACAGGCGCGATGGCTTTCTTCGCTGCTCGCCTGTCTCTGTTCATGCTCACACGGTCTGCTCCGTGAGCGACGGTCCCATTAGAGGAGATCGACATGACGGAACATCGACACGACAAAATATTGAACGAGAGCCTCAGAGGAAGTACAGTGGCTCAGATCACTACAGCGCCATAGATAATGGCAATTACGTCCATGTCGTTGTAGTTTGTCTTCTCGGAGGCACTCGCCACTGCGGCATTTATAGAAAAAAAAACTAATTAAAAGTGGAGTCCGGATCGATCCACCAAATTTCCCTGTGGTCTAGTTGGCAGCTGATCGACTGAATTGTCCGTTGTCTGGGTTTTCTTTTAACCTCGAAATGTTCACGCGAAGTTGTTTTCTTCTTGAGAAGCCCGCTCTTCATTTAGGTTTCTCGTATACTCTGCATTGTTCTTCCGGTTCGCCTTGCTCGAATATGAAAATGTTACTTGAGCTAGTCAAGTTCTTTCCACCCGTCATATCGTAACGATTGACCAAACTCCTTAGGAAGAATCTTGTCAGATATTTTTGCAGGGGCGCGATGATGTGCACGACTGTCGTTAAGAGAAGCAAAAATCCTTTTCATGATTTTTTGCCTTTCTGATGCTTTGACGGCGATGTTCCGAGGCGATACCGAGGCGATACCGTGGCGATACCGTGAGCGACGGCACTGCTGCCGCAGGTATCGTGGCGCCGGAAGCAAAATGGTAGCGAGGCGTTCGTTCGCGGGGATCATCGGACTTTCACGGAGGGGAAATGGGTGAGAAGTGTTTCACTGTCACTTGTGCAGGGCATTCGAAACGGTTCTTGTTTTAGTAGGCGGGATCATTCTAGAGGTATACTTACTGGGACGGAAAATATCGCACGAATGGAGGCAGACATCGCGCGGCGGGAAATCGGAGAATCCTGAAGGATGGAAGCTCCAATTTCCTTGGACTTTCCAATAGGTTCTAAGGGGATGGAAGGAGTCTCGTCCGAGAAAAAGTCGGCCCTTGAAATGAGCGAACCACACCGAAAACCCACCTTTCCCCTTCGCCATGTCGCACCGAGCGGCTCACCCCGGTCTCGCAGATACGAACCTAGATGCACCGACTCCTATCCCGCAACTGCCGGGTGCATGACCCCAGCGTGCGTACTCGGTCTCACACGCCTCGCTCGCGCAAACGATCGGCATCAGGGCGCTTTTCGAGCGTGGCTCCGGGGGACGACCTCACCGAGAAGGGTGCCTTAATTCCCTGTCCGCGGTTCAATCAAGTAGAACGGTATGTTTCCGTTCGTCGAGCGGGTGTTCAACGTTCAACGTTGAAGAGACCTCGTGCATATCACACCCGCAGGAGAGTCGAGAACGTAAATTTGGCAACACTAAACTACCTTGCTTCACTCTGTCTCCTAAAATCACTTTTTGCTCCAAGGAAGATTCTTCGAAGACCTCGCTGCACTGGAAGCCAACCAGGACCCAGCGAAGAAAAGGTAACTTCGCTCTTGCAATGAATGATTGCTGGTGTCGAGAATCCACGAGAGTCTTGCTCTTCCCGAACGTGCACGTGAGGAATCTAATCCACATCGGTTTTCTGACAATTCCGGTATCAATACTGGTAAAAGTCCGATGGTCCACGATTCGATTCGGCTCAAAAAAAAAAAAAAACTGGATGGGAAATTCTGAGACCAAATGAAGGGATGAAAGGAAACGTGGTCCACCTGCAAGAAAAAATTTATTTCCTCTACATCCACATGAAAACAGTGATTATTCCAATGTCCATATTAAAAGAGAGGAAAAGTGATGTGCATAGATGGACCAGTCTATCTTCAACATACTTCCCCAAAACTATCATTTTTATTGAAAGGCAAAGGCTCTACGAGCATAAGCCAATTTAAAATTTTCCGGTCCTATTTTGCAGATGTACCACTTTTCCTTTCAGCTCTTCAAACAAGAATCGAATCACAATTGATTAAACCACCACGCCGGGATCACATGGCCACTGTTTCGCATTCAAGTGATTGATGCAGCGAGCAGAAGCCGAGAGGAACTCAATGACTTCATTGTGTTCCAATCACGATGGCGCAATTTTCGCATAAACTTGTTTTAGGGCAATTCCATTACAAAAAACTGCTCTGAAGAGGTAGCACGAATCTATCAAATTTCACACATTTGGATTTCCGTTATCATATCAGCGCTCCCAATCGAGGTGTCGAGCCAGAGAAAACTTGCCCGAAGGAAGAGAGAGGAAGAGGAAGACACCGTCCGTTTTCTACTCGGCTTCCTTTAATCGGTTTCCAGTTTCGACAGATTCCTTTTCGAGCGTTTGCAGTTCGTGCTCTCTTCCGTCGAAAGATGTCGGAGATCCGTGGTTAGAGGCGACGACTGCAACTCGACTACGACCGCGACGAAACGGACACTCAGGTTCTACATAGAAAACGCGTATTCCGTTTCGGGCGGGGAACCGCCCGTTTAGAGTTTGATCGTACTGTCTGGGTCCTGCGATCCCTTCGCTCTGTTCCACGGTTGTTCCTCTGCCGTGCTGAACGCGGTGTAGAAGAGGAATTCGAACGAGTAAATACCGGACGCGATGAAGAAGGCGGTTCGCCACGGGTACACCGACGTCTGAAACGTAAATTATGGATCCTCTCGTCGGTGGTAACGATCGAGATCAATGCAATGCCGGTGGAACTCACGTCTCCGTGTATCATGGCTCCGACGACCATGGGCACTGCGATTCCGGGTATAGTGGCCACCGTGTTCGTCAGGGCCATCAGCGTCCCTGTCACGACAAGGAAACAGTCACTCCCGCACCCAACGGCAGCCGAGGAAAACCAAAGACCATCCCGGCAACACACCCGCGAAATTGGGCGCAATGTCGATGTGATTGGAGACGAAGCCGCTGGGCGACCCGGCGTTGCACCCGACGCCGACGGCGAGGAGGGCCACCGCCGCCGCGCGGTTGCACCCGGTGTACGTCACCAGTGCCAGACAGATCGCTGGCCCCAGGGATGCTAAAAACAAAAAACGGATTTTTGGGTCCTCACTCATTCGTTGTATATGTTATCCCACCGACGATCAGTCCTATAGAACTGATATACAACATATACAACAAGTCACCGTTTTCTTTCCTGACGATTTGTCTCCAATATTCTTTATTTTCCTAATTTCTGAACTTTTTTCCACCGCTTCATATTTTTATCTAGTATTTCACAATTATTATTCACAATTATTATTTATTAAGTAATAACAGTGAGTACTTCTAACTATTATTATTATTTATTCTACATTACATTATTCTTATCAGTTACTTGTCTAATGACTCCCTGTGATTCATACCGAGACCAGTGGCAATTTTCTGCAAGACAGTCGCGGACACGATCCGTCGGTCTCTCAGGGATGCAACCAGGTACCCAAAGGCAATGGTGCTCAACCACACGATGAGGTACGGAAGAGCCGAGAGGAGAGAATTCTGTAAGAAAGAAATTAAATCATTTCCTAGTTGGATCCGGGAGGAGCGTCAAGGAAACCTCCACACCGATTTGATATTGAAGCCGAAGATCTGCTTCATGAAAGTGGGAAGTTCCACGAGGAGCATGTACCAGCCCCAGCTGCTGCACACCTGGGCCACGAGGATGGCGTAGAACGGCATGGATGTGAACACGCTTCTCCAAGGCACCGGGAGTCTCCGCTTCTCCTACACGAGTTTCTCCACAGTACATTTTTTTTTTTCCCCATAAAGAATGTGCAGCAATGGGATGTGGAACCCAATTTGTCGAAAGATCTTGCTCGTGTCTGAAGGGTGAATTCAGCGAATTGCGATCGGATAACTGAAGAGCGAGAGGCACTTTCTTGTACGAATCCCTCTGTATTGGCTGCGGGAATTGTTCGTATTCAGAGACTTACAGGCACTACGCTTTTATTACACTTTTATTTTGAGATATAAAATAAAGGGTAGTTGTCGGCTGAGGATGTTGGTTCCCCTTTTCCTTAGTACCCAAAAGGGAAGAGTCACGGAAAAATGCCCTGAAAAACTGCAAGATTGGAAAAAAACGTTCTGTCGTTCTTGGAGGCATCTTCAGCTCTACCTTGTCTTCATCAGTGAACAAATATTTCACCTCCCGATTGTCGTCTGCTTAAAATACAGTATCGTGTCGTGCCACCTACCCGCGTATATCCTATCGCATCTGTAGTTCAGAAAACCGCTGTCATTGGCCGGACGACATAAAAAGATGTTTTATGTATTGCAGGGTGGGGCAAAAGTCAGGGAACATAGGAATTTTTGGGGAATTTAATTTTCAAAGTGACTGCTTCATGGCAGCACAATTCCGTATCTCTTTTTCGTCAATTTGGCATACAATAGTTGGAGACCAGTGAAGAGTGCTCCCTCTACGTCCATTGAAATGAACTGGAAATGAACGACCGTTACTCACCTGGAACAAGTAAGACAATTTTGGTGATGTGTCTTCCCATTGCTATTTATGTTGGTGACCTCCATGCGTGAGTATATTTTGCAATAATTTGACGGACGACATCTGAAAGTGATTTTTGACTGAGTGTTGCTAAAATAGCTCAAAAATGGTGTATTAGACCAAAAAACGAGAGGAGTGTGATGATATACGCAAAAATACATAAATAAATAACAGTTTTTGGTAAACTAGTATGATTACCATGAAAGACAGCCAAATAAGCCAAGACTGTCGATCCACTGCATTTCGGATTTGATAGCAAAATTCCGGGCAACCGGCAGTGTTCTCGATACAAAAAAAGAAAGGGGCCGACCGGAGAAGAAGCCGACCAAAACTGAACTTCTGGCCCTGGTGTCCATATAGCCGCCACAATCAACGCGAGAGATGTTGAGAGCTGTGGGCATTAGTGAAAAGTTAGACAGAAAGGATAATTAAATTCCCCCAAAACTCCGATGTTCCCTAACTTTTGTCCCACCCTGTATATCCTGAAATGAACTTTTTTCTCTCTTCTCCGCAAAGGTCGTACATAATCCAAGGTGAATAACAACTAGTGCGAATTTAGAACGCGCCGTCCAGTTTGAAATCTCCTAGTGCAACTCACAGTGCTAGTGCCAACAGTGTCTTTCCCTAGGGACTTTCGGATGTATTCCTTCTCGTAGTAGGAAATGAATAGGTGAGCCTGTGGGTGATCGGTGACAAGCAGCAGCCACAAGGCGTACCAGACAGCTCCCAAGCCTCCCTGAATGTAGAACACGGATTCCCAGCCCAGTTCGGACGCAATCACTCCCGAGAGCGTCAGGGACAGCACCGTTCCCAGCGACATCCCTGTAGAGAGAGAGAGAGATCGAGTGAACGACGTAAACTTGAATGCAGGGTGTTGGTATTTTGGAGAAAAATTTTGTTTAACTTTACATTCAGCAAGTACCAAAAGGCTGGTCCGCATCTAATGATCGAAATACTTTAGTTCGAAAGGTCGGAAGACAGAAGGAACTGAATGCAGAATACATCCAAGAGAATGGATGGAAAGTATCTTTTTTTTTATCGAAAGGCACGGAATACCGAATGGGGAACTTTTATTTCGAATGTCGAATTCAATCTCGAAGGTACGGAATATCGAATAACATGCCGAATGTAGAATTGTCGGAATTTCAAATAATCTCAAGTTATGTGAATTCCAATAGCAATATCACAGGGCAATATTGAGTGACAACCCTCTTAGGAAGGACATGTTCAAGCGGTTGCCATAGGCTTCAGGGATTTTAAGTATCTGCTCGTCTTTCCTAGTATCTGTTGTTTTCATTCGAATGATGTTTCCGGCCTCAAGCTGCCTGATTTTCTATTCCGTTACTGTTGGTTCTTTCTTGAGCCGCTGAATGAAGGCAAAAATATTCAAATAATCGGCAAACAAGCAAGATATTCGCCTGTGCCACGCTCAATTTAATTTGTTGTACAAGGGTCTTCCACCAGATTGCGCTGACAAACATTCAGACAGGTTTATAGAGCGGAGAAGTTCGGGGCCTTCCACGTGACCTTCTGCGATCGATGTAAGCCTCCCGTAAATATGTCGTAATTGGACCAGCATTATCTGGCATGGTTTCGAGCAACTCATGGAACACCTTGCTGACGTCATCCAAAAGTACGATTGCAAGACAGGTCATCATCCGGATTTTCAACGCAAAATCTTAATCTTCCACGTAGCGACGAGGCCCGGCCACTCTTTTGGACTTCACGACATACACAATGACAGAGACGATAAAAGCACGTCTGGTGTTGAACGAATGAACTAGAGACGTCTCGAACTAGAGAGTCAACTGCCTTGGAACTTGTATCCTAGACTCATGCAGACCTCTGTGGAGAGGAGGGAGTACGGCAAATATAACCAGTTTCGGCTCATGGCATTCGGACTTTCGAGTCTATCGATATTCCAATCTTTCTACTTTGCAACTAGTCTGTATTCTGCTTCCTCGCCCTTTCAGCATTCTTTCTGCATCTCGTTTGTTCGTATTTTAGTATTTCGCTCTTCCGATACCGACCCCACAAGGCTTACCTGGTGGCTTGATTATTTTAAAATTGTCGCTCTCCTATCTTAATAACAAGTAATTGAGCTTATTAATAAGAACAAAGGACATATTTAGTTTCCATTAACATGCAGCTAATTTTGCCCGTGTTGCATTTCGATACGAACAAGGTGTATTATAAAGCAGTTGTCCCATCGAACATCCTCATATGTTGAGTGTGCAGTGAATGAGTTCAAACCAGAGTAGACGATAGAGGCGAGAGTGGATCTTTCGACGGGTGGAGACCAATGTGCCAAGAGAACATGGGTGGCTGGCACTGTCACGCCCTGAAAAGAAAACCCCTCTCAGCCCATGCGCCTACATCTGCTCCATCGGCCAATGCCTCATTCCTACTTTTAGGGAAGGAACATGGAATTTCTTCCCGTCGAAATGGATTCCCTCGATGATAGCGACCCTTCAAACTGTATCTCTTTTTTTTTTTTAACTTTTTTTCGCTGGGGCGTATCGGGTCCCAGGAAAGGAATGTGAAGGAGTGACGGTTGCATGCGCTTACCCCTCCAAATCCTTTGATGATTCGAAGCAGAATGAGCCATGGATAGCCGCTTTTGGAGGCAACTGGTGAAAGCACTGTGCCCACCACATTCAGCATCACTCCGAGTCCGAAGAGGTGCTTGGCACTGAACGTCTCCGACAGTCGTCCTCCCGGTATCTGCGTGACGATGTAGCCCCAGAAATAGGCTCCCAAAATGTAGCCTTGAACGTGCGAGTCCCACTCGAAAGGCCCATCCTGGAAACGACAGAAAAAGCGTCAAGTTTCGAATCCAAAACGAGTAGATACGAGGTAAGAGTCCCTGATGAAAGCCGTTCGTCGACGCACGTCGGGGGAAGTCTCGACGGTGACGTTGTCGACATGGCCGCATTCGGTCGCGTTGGGATTCGCTTTGGCCGTCGCTTGGGTCACGGCCGTATGATTTACCATCGCCACGATGGTCACGCTCAGGTTCACCTTGAGTCCGTAGATGATGGCGTGCCCGAGGGAGTTCAACACCGCCAGAAGGTAGCGGATCGGGATCACACCTGTTTGGAAATAACATTGTGTGAGGAATAGATTTTAAAATATCGACACGGGCACATAAGGATCACATGGATTACAGGTGGATACATCTCTTTCTTCACTGGAAACAGGCCCTTGGAATTGGCCCAGAAGACTGGACACGCTAACGTTCCTGTAAGATGAGGGGTCCTAAGATCTATCCTGATTAGAGTCTCACTGGCCGCGAGAAACCGTGAAAAGTATTTCCTCGTTTGATCCCTGATATATTTTTTGAATACAGTTAAGGCCTTGAACATCTTTCCTGGAAGGGACACTGGGTTCATTGCAGTCAACAGGCGCAATGACTTTCTTCGCTGCTGGGCTATCTCTGTTCATGCTCACACAGTCCGTGAGCGATGGTCCCATGTTAAAACATCGACGTGACAGAACACCGGCACGACAAAACATTGAAGGAGGGAGAGTTCCAGAGGAAGATCAGTTCAAGACAGCACCATAGGCAAATATGTCCAAGCCGTTGTAGTTAGTCTTCACGGAGGCACTCGCAACTGTGGCATTAATAAATGATAAAAAAACTATTAAAAAGTGGGGTCTGGATTGATCCACCAAAGTACATTGGCATTTCCCGACGGTCTGGTTAGCTGATATCAACAGAATTTTCCTAAGTCTGGATATTCTTTTACCTTGAAATTTTCCCGTGATGTCGTTTTCTTCTTATGAAGTCCGCACTTCATTTCCCGGCTTCTCGTCTTCTTTGATCACATTGTTCTTCCGGTTCGCCATGCTCGAATATGAAAGCCTTAGTTTGACCTAATCAAGTTGAAGAGTGAGTGGAATAACATCGCAGACTGGATTGAGGGACTTTCACCCTTAGAGAAAGCGACCCCCATCACAAGGAAAACATTCCTTGTTAGAGCAGTCTATAAACGCATGCTACATGCTGTACATTGTGACAGTCGTCTAAGAAAGTAAAAAATACTTTTCATATTTTTTTGTCGTTTCGATGCTTTGACGGTGATGTTCTGTGGCGATACCATGAGCGACGGCCATTTTTGCTTCTAGCACCAGGATATATCCTGGCGCTGGGAGCAAAATGGTAGTTGGGCGTTTGTGTTCGGGGATTCTCGAAGTTTCACGGATGGGAGGATGAGAAGGGCTTTACCGTCACTGTTATTGACTCGTGCAGGGCATTCGAAACGGTTCTTTGTTTTCGTAGGCGGGATCATTCTAGAGGTATACTTACTGGGACGGAAAATATCGCACGAATGGAGGCAGACATCACGCGGCGGGAAATCGGAGAATCCTGAAGGATGGAAGCTCCAATTTCCTTGGACTTTCCAATAGGTTCTAAGCGGCTGGAAGGAGTCTCGTCCGAAAAAGTCGGCCCTTGAAATGAGCGAACCACACTGGAAACCCACCTCTCCCCTTCGCCATGTCGCACCGAGCGGCTCACCCCGGTCTCGCAGATACGAACCTAGATGCACCGACTCCTATCCCGCAACTGCCGGGTGCATGACCCCGGCGTGCGTACTCGGTCGCACACGCCTCGCTCGCGCAGACGATCGGCATCAGGACGATTTTCGAGCGTGGCTCCGGGGACGACCTCACTGAGAAGGGTGCCTTAATTCCCTGTCCGCGGTCCAATCAAGTAGAACGGCATGTTTCCGTTCAACGTTGAAGCGACCTCGTGCGTATCACACCTGCAGGAGAGTCGAGAACGTAATTTTGGCAATACTAAAATAACTTACTTCACTGTCTCCTAAAATCACTTTTCGCTCCAAGGAAGATTCTTCGAAGACCTCGCTGCACTGGAGGCCAACCAGGACCCAGCAAAGAAAAGGTAACTTCGCTTTTGCCCACACCTGAACTGAGCTATGAGCACTTCCTCACTGTCACGGAGAGGGACAACGCTAGGAGATGCGATTTCTATAGGATTCGCATGATGAAGATAGCAGATATATCTGCCTAAGCGTGAAAGATTAAACAGAAAACATGGTATGAATCATTCCAAATGGGATCTAAAGGGGTCATTTCGCACTTTTTCGCCTCCTTGTTGCATCACGAGCTCCGAAACATTACGTGGGGAATGTGGAGCCCACCCCGGATTATTCTCACTTGCCCAGAAGAAACCCGTGTTTTTGCTGCTGGGAAACGAAAAATTTGCACTAAGATTTCCGGGGGCATTTCAGATGTTCCCGGACGTTCGAGTTTCAAATCAACATATGAATGAGAGAACAAAGAAAGAAACAGAACGAGTAGTCCGAAATTGGCTTTCATGAACTAGTTGCTCAGGGTTTAAGGTGCAAATTGCACGAGAAAACCATGAAGTTGGCTGACATTGTTATATTCACATCAAGAACTCAGTTGAGAATGAAATTCAAATATCGTCATGATCTAAGCCCATAAGAGAAAGTGTATTTTTAAAAAATTATGCCATTTTCTGATTTCAGCTGGATGGCTAAGTCAGATGGAAGCAATCCACAAATGTTGACGGCTACTGTTCGATTCCCCGAGAAGTCGAGCTGCAAGGATATTTGGGAATGGTGAATTGAGAACGACTGCGTTGCTGTTCTCCTCGAGCAAGTTGCAAAAAAACGACCAAATCAGTGAAGTGAAATGTGAGCAAGGGCGAACGTGGAGAAGTACTGTAAAGGGTGCCAAACAATGATAGCCCCCCCCTGCCGGGGAAATACTGTAATAGCTAGAAGTGTGATCGTGATATAATCTGAAAGTACATCTAATTCTTCTTCTTTGCAGGTATTAACATGTGTGCTGCTGTGTTAAACGACAGATTGGGTCACGGCCGTATGATTTACCATCGCCACGATGGTCACGCTCAGGTTCACCTTGAGTCCGTAGATGATGGCGTGCCCGAGGGAGTTCAACACCGCCAGAAGGTAGCGGATCGGGATCACACCTACTTGGAAATAACATTGTGTGAGGAATAGATTTTAAAATATCGACAGGGGCACGTAAGGATCACATGGATTATAGGTGATTACATCTTTTTCTTCACTGGAAACAGGCCCTTGGAATTGGCCCAGAAGATTGGACTAGCCAACGTTCCTGTAAGATGAGGGGTCCTATCTATCCTGATTAGGGTCTCACTGGCCGCGAGAAACCGTGAAAAGTATTTCCTCGTTTGATCCCTGATATATTTTTTGAATACAGTTAAGGCCTTGAACATCTTTCCTGGTAGGGACACTGGGTTCATTGCAGTCAACAGGCGCAATGACTTTCTTCGCTGCTGGGCTATCTCTGTTCATGCTCACACAGTCCGTGAGCGATGGTCCCATGTTAAAACATCGACGTGACAGAACACCGATTCGTGATGCCAATGGAGGGGACACTGAATATTGAGCTTGTAAATATAAACCCACAATAAATTGTGCTACCTATTGGTATTTTCATTTTTTTTCCTACCAGGCTTCGTTTACTCTGGGGAGGGGGGGGGGGCTATCATTGTTTGGCACCCTGTAGTAGTAATCCGATGAATCAAGGGACCCTATTCGGAAATGAAAGTTCAAGGTCTGAAAACACATCAGGGTTTCGATGAAAACATCCGACTAGACAGACGATTTCACGACTAGCAGAAGGTTTCTTGAGGAGTATCTGGTTTCACCATTTGCAAGACGCAGTCAAGATTGATTATCGACCTTGGAAATTCTTTGCCTGGCTCCAATTCAACTAGTCGAGCAGGAAGTGCATCCAACAAGGAGACTTCTAAACGATCCTTACCTGCACATGTGAACATTTTTTATCCATTGGTCATGCGATGCTGCTTCCGAACAGGTGTGATCCCAATTCGTTGCCTCCTGGCGGTGTTGAACTCTCTCTGCCTCGCCACGTTCTACGGGCAGACAGCGAATCTGGGCGTGACGATCGTGGCGATGATCAATCACACGGCCGTGACCCAAGCGATACCCAAGTTCGTCGTTGTGCGTCGAAGAAGGGATTTTATCAAGGACTCCTTCGACTCATTTCGGATTCGGAAATGACGCTTTTCCGTCGTTTCCAGGACGAGCCTTTCTAGTGAGACTCGCACGTTCAGGATTACATTCAGGGAGCCTTTCTGGGGCTAAATCGTTTCGCAGATACCGGAAGGGCGACTTTCGGAGACGTTCAGTGCCAAGCACCTCTTCGGGCTTGGAGTGATACTGAATATGATGGGCACAGGGCTTTCACCAGTTGCCTCCAAAAGCGGCTATCCATGGCTCATTCTGTTTCGGGTCATCAGAGGGTCGGAGGGATAAGCGCACGCGAACGTCACTCTCGCGACGAGATCCGTCATTTTCCTCTCCTGGGACCTGATATGATCCAGACGACTTAAGGAAANCTTCTCACTCACCTTATTGTAGCGTCTGACCTAACTCCCTGAAAGTGGGAATCTCTTTCGCTGGGGGTAGTGTTCCTTTTGTAAGGAACAATCTCGTCAGATATTTGCGTACGATGTACGACATGTACGTGACAGTCGTCTAAGAAAGTAAAAAATACTTTTCATATTTTTTTGTCGTTTCGATGCTTTGACGGTGATGTTCTGTGGCGATACCATGAGCGACGGCCATTTTTGCTCCCAGCGCCAGGATATATCCTGGCGCTGGGAGCAAAATGGTAGTTGGGCGTTTGTTTTCGGGGATTCTCGAAGTTTCACGGATGGGAGGATGAAAAGGGCTTTACCGTCACTGTTATTGACTTGTGCAGGGCATTCGAAACGGTTCTTTGTTTTCGTAGGCGGGATCATTCTAGAGGTATACTTACTGGGACGGAAAATCTCGCGCGAATGGAGGCAGACATCGCGCCGCGGAGAAGTGGAGAATACCAAGGGATTAAAGCTCCAATTTCCTTGAAATTTCCAATAGGTTCTAAGCGGCTGGAAGGAGTCTCGTCCGAAAAAGTCGGCCCTTGAAATGAACGAACCACACTGGAAACCCACCTCTCCCCTTCGCCATGTCGCACCGAGCGACTCACCCCGGTCTCGCAGATACGAACCTAGATGCACCGACTCCTATCCCGCAACTGCCGGGTGCATGACCCCAGCGTGCGTACTCGGTCGCACACGCCTCGCTCGCGCAGACGATCGGCATCAGGACGCTTTTCGAACGTGGCTCCGGGGACGACCTCACTGAGAAGGGTGCCTTAATTCCCAGTCCGCGGTCCAATCAAGTAGAACGGCATGTTTCCGTTCAACGTTGAAGCGACCTCGTGCATATCACACCTGCAGGAGAGTCGAGAACGTAATTTTGGCAACACTAAACTACCTTGCTTCACTCTGTCTCCTAAAATTACTTTTCGCTCCAAGGAAGATTCTTCGAAGACCTCGCTGCACTGGAGGCCAACCAGGACCCAGCAAAGAAAAGATAACTTCGCTCTTGCCCACACCTGAACTGAGCTATGAGCACTTCCTCACTGCCACGGAGAGGGGCAGCGCTGGGAGATGCGATTTCTATAGGATTCGCGTGAAGATAGCAGATATATTTGCCGAAGCGTGAAAGATTAAACAGAAAACATGGTATGAATCATTCCAAATGGGATCTAAAGGGGTCATTTCGCACTTTTTCGCCTCATTGCATCACGAGCTCCGAAACATTACGCGGGAAATGTGGAGCCCACCCCGGATTATTCTCACTTGCCCAAAAGAAACCCGTGTTTTGCTGCTGGGAAAGGAAAAATTTGCACTAAGATTTCCGGGGGCATTTCAGATGTTCCCGGACGTTCGAATTTCAAATAAACATATGAAAACATATGAGAACAAAGAAAGAAACAGAACGAGTAGTCCGAAATTGGTTTTCATGAACTGGTTGCTCAGGGTTTAAGGTGCAAATTGCACGAGAAAAACATGAAGTTGGCTGACATTGTTATATTCACATCAAGAACTCAATTGAGAATGAAATGCGAATATCGTCATGATCTAAGCCCATAAGAGAAAGTGTATTTTTTTTATTATTATGCCATTTTCTGATTTCAGCTGAATGGCGAAGTCAGATGG